CTGTGCGCGAACATTGCGCAATTGACCAAGTCAGACAGCAACTGGAATAATTATGGCAATGTGCGTCTTGCGCAACGCACATGCCGATTTATTAATTTTTTAAAACAATGAGATAATTATTAACATAACAAATTATAAACCGAAGTTAATTATTAAAAGTTCGCACAGAAAAGGTGGGGTAATAAATACGCCCACCATTTAGAAATTAATTTAATAACTAAACTAACTTACATATGTAATAATATTGCGTCAAGTAACGGGGAGGAGGGTGGGGTATCAATTGACTTCAGCCAGAGAGTTGACCTTGCGCGACCAGATTGAAGAGTAGAATGAACTGATGCACATATTGCTGTAGATTATATCACCACTCCTATCCGCTTCCTGCGCATTACATTCATGTGACTACAAATTATCGGGGCTAATACCCCCGTGTCCCATTACAATAGCTCCCTATCTCTAAAACTAGATGCAGGAAGCAATAAAATCTTTATTGGTATGCCAATAATTCCTTTACATTATAATAAATGATTTTGACCTTGATTTTCACAATTGTCAAATATAAACTTTTTTTGCACAATTTTTTTTCTTTTTATCAAAAGTATAAATTATCCAAATTAAAAAATATCCAAGACATCCAAGCAACGCATACAAATAGCACTTGACATTATAATAACCTAAAATCATCAAGACATTAGAAATACTTTAAAATTACTGCACGATTCAGTTTCAGACTGTGGAGTAAAATAGAACGATCAAACTCTGCAGTAAATTGTCTTTGTATATATATATAAAAACTCTAGTTATACGCATCCCAAACATGTTTTTAGTGTCAGTTAGCAATAGTAGCTAATAGTCCTATATGCATCTGTTGTCTAAGGTACGAAATTTCACAAAACGAAATGAAATGAATGAAAGAAATGAAAAGAATCTCACCTGACTTGTTGACAGTATAAGATCTCACTCCTTCGGAGGTCATTTATCCAAATTTTCGTTCATTTTAAACATATTCGTGTAATAATCTACTGTTCAACAGACGCAGCTTGACATATTCTTTCAAATTTTGTCCTCAAAATAAAGATCGGACGGCAGATGTTTTTAAAATCGCTGTTTTATTGCGAAAATTCGACATTTCTCCATTAACTTCAATACAAAAATTTAGTTCGGCGCTTACCAGACTCTCACGCATGCGCAGTGAAAAAGTGGGGACAGGATTTTCCGCGAGTCGGCCATCTTTATATACTTAATCTTTGATTACACCACAGAGTAGATAAGACATACAGAGACGTAACTGACCGTTGTAAACACTGCGGAAGATTACGTTATCATGTACCCACTTTTTTTTCAGGCGACCGGGCGAAAAATGATCAACTGCGCGTGCTCAGCAAGTTTAAAGTTAGTCGTCATCAGGACGTCATCCAATCAGATGCACGCATCTAGTAACTTGCCGAGCATGCGCACAAAAAAAGTGGGTACACTAGTTACGTCTCTGTATGTCTCTACTCTGTGATTACACTTTGAATTTAAACTAACATGCGCATGCATAAACGTTAAATTGCGACCGTTATTCGCGCGTGCGAAATTGCGTAAGCATATAAATTACGTGCACGTGTCCGATTAATTCTAATAAAAATTAGAAATTGTTAATTCTGTCTTAAATGTTTAAACTACGAAATCTAAGACATTTAACTGTTCGTATTTTCCATTCAAGTCTGGATTAAGCTTTTGGATGAATAATGCTTCGGTAATTTTCCGTTCTACAGATCCTTTTGTTCTTTTTAAAATCTTAACAGACAGTTTCGGTTTTTGTCCGTAATGTTGGTCGAGGTAGTGTTTCGAGAAAGCCATGTTTTTATAGGACTTTGCTTTCGGGTTTGCTGCGGAACGAAAATGTTCTTGGTATCGAACCACCAATGGTCTGCCTGTCTCGCCTACGTACGTTGCTCCACAAAGGTCACAGTTGATTTGATACACGATGTCTTTCTGTGTACACTGAACGGGAGCATTTGAGTTGCTGCAGATTGGGCATTTAGAGGTGTCTGTGCATACTTTATCGTAAGGTCGCGATTCTACGAGGAGTTGTTTAAGCGAGCTTTGTGGTCTTTCAACTATTCTGACATTGAGGTTTGAACTCTGGGCCGCTCTTCGGATGTCAGTCGTAAAGCTTCTGGAAATGAATGGAATTGTGAATGTGGGAAGAGGTTCGACTTTCGATTTTGGCAGTTTTCGTTTTGTTGTCTGGACTTTTTTTATATAGTTGTTGCTATAGCCGGTTCGTCTCGCTCTTCTTTCAAACTTCCGTTCAGCTTCTTCAAACAAGGCGTCGGTTGAACATATGGAAGTATATGTCTTGATGGTGTTACCGATAGCGGCCCGTTTGATTTGTTCTGGGTGGTGTGATTTTGCATTCAACATTACATCAACAAAACCGAAACTGTCTGTTAAGATTTTAAAAAGAACAAAAGGATCTGTAGAACGGAAAATTACCGAAGCATTATTCATCCAAAAGCTTAATCCAGACTTGAATGGAAAATACGAACAGTTAAATGTCTTAGATTTCGTAGTTTAAACATTTAAGACAGAATTAACAATTTCTAATTTTTATTAGAATTAATCGGACACGTGCACGTAATTTATATGCTTACGCAATTTCGCACGCGCGAATAACGGTCGCAATTTAACGTTTATGCATGCGCATGTTAGTTTAAATTCAAAGTGTAATCCTACTACCTGAAGATGGAGTAAATCTCCGAAACGTCGTTTGTTAATGAAATAAACATTTAAAAAAAGTCTCACTGTGGTCTATATATTGAACACAAAATAAATTTTAATAGATTGCACGAAGTCGTACTCGTATTGTAAACAACACTATATAACGAAACTATTAAGGAACTGGACGAAGATTTATGCCAAAATACATTCAATAATCGAATATATAACCATGTATTTGAAATTTAATTTATAGTTGAAATTATTAAGAAAAATGATGAGAGTTGCATTGTAATACATAGAAATACAACAATGTCAATGCGTATCGTATTAATTTATAAAGATATTATTTAGTCTATTTACACACTACATATACTCACTACTCACTAGAACTAGATCTATAAAATATATATACATACGCATTTTAATATATATACATACGCATATACTCACTACTCACTAGAACTAGATCTATAAAATATATATACATACGCATTTTAATTAATACTGTGACTAATCTCTGCTAATTTTCGCAATGCAAATTGCTTTGTTTACATTTTGAACTGGTATATTTGTAAAATATGATATACTAATTGAATATCTGACACTTTTCTGTTTCGCTATGCTTGTAAATTAATATAAACTAGACGTTTCAATTCAAAAAAGTTCGAAAGATGCAAAATTTGAGCAATGTCTATATTATCTGTGAGTTCCCCTTCGTTATGCGCAGAACGGACTAAACAGCATCTTTAAATAATTTATAATTAATGGTTTGAAACACACACCTTCGCAATAAATTGAATTAAGGTGTGTTTACAAAATTATTTACTCAACTTTTACGAACGGATCCATGATGACCACCTGCATTTGATCAAAATTCACAAGACTCGCAAAACTCGCATGACTCGCACGACTTGCACGACTAGCAGACTCGCAAAATAGCCGACCTCAATTGTCAATTAATTTTAGTTCATGAGCGGTAAACAAAGCCAAAGGAAATTACACGTGATACGGCAACTGGATATGTGATCTTAATCAGCATAGAATTTCTCCAACTTAATTAAAACTTAAATTTCTCTTACAGTCGATTTCAACTTACTTTTCACTAAAATGTTGCGAACTTCGCAAATTCGTTGCAAAGTTCAAAAGTTCATAATGAAATTCACAAACAGGTTTGTATACAAAGCCTCCGATTAGCTATTAAATCAAACCCAGCCAATCAAATGCTCAGTTTACAAACCTGTTTGTGAATTTCATTATGAACTTTTGAACTTTGCAACAAATTTGCGAAGTTCGGAACGACGTTCGCAACATTTTAGTGAAACATTTTAATTAAGTAACTTACCCAAGGTTACGTCGTCCGGCATATCACGAATTGAAAACACAAATTATCTAGAGTTCTAATAGCAAGTAATTGTATTCCTTCCACTCGTGAGCTCATTACAAAAGTAATGTCCAGGCCTTGTGACCCTGGATGGGCACTTAAAAGGAAAGAATACACACACACAATTAGATCTAATGCGCATGTCGTTACTTGATGACGCAATTATTATGCAATAGAAACATGACAAAGATACTCAGATCTTTCAGTCTTAACAATATACATTATCATAATAATAAAATTGCCAACTGCTAGATAACAAAGAACCGGAGATGACGGAGTTCGCAATAAGTGTGTGTGTATTCTTTCCTTTTAAGTGCCCATCCAGGGTCACAAGGCCTGGATATTACTTTTGTAATGAGCTCACGAGTGGAAGGAATACAATTACTTGCTATTAGAACTCTAGATAATTTGTGTTTTCAATTCGTGATATGCCGGACGACGTAACCTTGGGTAAGTTACTTAATTAAAATGTTTAAATGGCAGTCGATCCAAATCTTGTTCGTAATTATATATATATATACTTAAATAAATTGAAGTGCAAGGACTCAACTAATTCCTCTAGGCATCTTTGCTATACCATTTCAATTTAATTTCATACCACAAGATGTGGCACTCGCCCAATAATTTAGGTGACATGTAAGTGCTGTATACAGCTATTTCGACTAAGGTTGTCCCACGAGCAAAGCGGAAAAGTCGAATACGAGCGCGAAAGGCTGCTGGGAATCGCTAAAAATTAAAGAATTTATTAGCGATTCCCAGCAGCCTTTCGCGCTCGCATTCGACTTTTCCGCTTTGCTCGTGGACAAACTTAATTGGAATAGCTGTATATACTTTTCTACTTGCGTAGTCTGAAAATTATGAATCATATACATGCATCTCACTCGAGAATATTTTCATTATATATACAGGGGTCAAATTTTCGGGAACTGCAAATTTTCCTTCCACTGTTTCCTGTTTAATTAACTTTGTTATTCTGACTTGTCCTGTGCAAACGATTTTGCTTGCGGATATTTAAGCCTGTGTTCCTTCCAATTCTTGTGTTGGGGTTACATTCATTCTATGCGATCCACTACCATGATCGTCATCTTCCTGTCCTTCTAGGATCTGTACACCCATACTTTATTCAAAAGTCTTCCCTCCCAATATATCCAACTCTTTATCAAAAATCTTTGTCAAGAAAAATTCTGCGACAAAATAACGAAATCCGTTGTTAATTATCAACAACATTAAAGCAACAACAGATTTTACTCCAGGTGGTTCTGATTCGTTCTTCTTTCGTTTCGATTCTGGAACGGATAAGACTTTATATGCAGCAACTGTTGAGCCAAGCAAAGCAACCACAGAGTTTTGAACGACATACATTGCTAGAGCTGCTTTATAACCCCAACGTTTGAGGCTTGATTCACCTCCATTCCAAAATCTGAGAAAAAAATTGAAGATCAAATCTTATAATAATAACATATATTTCGATGCCATTTCTTATAGTTCAATGGTGCTTTACAGTATTTAGAATATTTAATATTTTGGTGCATTTACATCAATCCATTTAAAAACCTAGGACATTTACATCAATCAACTTAGAAATTTAGTGTATTTACCATTATATTATATATAAATGTCAATATAAGAAGTGAATTAGATAAAAAAATCTGTTAGATAGGTACAACTAGCAATAATTAAAATTGGTGAGACTAGTGTAAGTTACTTATAGAAATTTTTGAATATGTCTTTAATTTTGTTTTAAACAAGTAGATATTGATTCGCTATGGCGACGAAGTTCATTCTATAGTTTTGGCGCTGCACATGAAAATGATCTTTGACCATAGTTGACCAACTTTATGGGGGTACTGATAGAAGTCCCTTCATCGACGAACGTAGATTCATTGTTGATTTGAGCGGTTGTAGCATGTGCCCAATGTAATTTTGTGCAAGACCATAGTTACAGCCTTGTAAGTGATGAGAAGTATCTTGTAAATGATACGTTGACTGACGGGAAGTCAGTGCAGCTCTTTCATTTTATTTATTTATACATGCATCTTCCAAATATGGAATTCACTATTTTTACAAGGGGAAACTCTCTCGGATATTAGCTTTTATTTATTTAATATTGAAATATAAATTCCTACATTTAGGTCGTTCTAATGGAGTTCAGCTTGTAATAAAAAGCGATACATTTACGTTTTAATCAGAATTTACAAAGACTGTATAGCACGAGACGATTTTTACACCGCGCCAAACGTCCTGGAAGGATCCCTATTTTTTGTTAGAGATGTTATAGTTATTCTGCCCCGTTCGATTTCTTTCACTAAATACAGAACGAATATATTCATTGCACCGGCGTCGCATTTACCGGGTCATTAATTAAAATTGCTTGATGTAATATTAATTATAGATTTGATTATTTAAAGTGCCTATGACATGAAATTTTTTATTTTCTTAAATGAAAGAACTCTTTAAGTTGTAGTGTAACTCATTTTTCAGTTTCTTGTTTTTGTGATTTGTTCCCGAGATATCTCAATTTGTTTGATATGTAAATGAGTGTGAACATGTCCGCTATTTTATGACGTCATGTTCGTTGCAAGCTCTTCAAAATGGTTGAATTTCACTGCTATCATCCAAGATGATAATTTCAAACTTCACTCACTGGTAAATGTGATGAAACACTGGAGAAAAACGTTAACTGATATCAACAGTTTTTTAAGTTAATACATTTAAAAGCAGTGTAAGTTGAGCTTGCAACCAACATGACGTCATAAAATAGCGGACATGTTCACACTCATTTACATATCAAAAAAATTGAAATATCTCGGGAACAAATCACAAAAACAAGAAACTGAAAAATAAGTTACACTACAACTTAAAGAGTTCTTTCATTTAAGAAAATAAAAAATTTCATGTCATAGGGGCACTTTAAGGTAGCATGCAGGTCGAGATAACAAAATACATATTAATTTTAGGGCATTCGGCGAATGGATATAATCGCAATGTAGGTTGCATTGCAGTTAATAAAAAACTTATCAGTCGAATTAATTACAATTGACCCAGTGAGTAGTACGAACTCATTAGACTTTAATTAGATGAAATCAATCGTGAGAGAAGGGAAAATAAATAAGATTTATGCATGCAAGCCAAAGCAATTATCGTTATCGAGCAGTCATTACCTTGGTGAGAAGTTTGCAAGAAACATAAGTATAACAGTCAGAGATTTCTCCAAGATGAATGAAACATAGCCAATTGTCTTCCATGTTTGCGGACTATTTGATATTACATGTATATCGTACACAACAACGACCAAGAGCACGAAACTGATCTTATAAAAATACTTTTTCCGAATCAAATGACGAATGACTGTTCGGATCCCACAAAATCCTGGCGTAAGGTGCACGAAGTGATAAATGAGGAAGAGAGAAACAAGACAGCTGTTAAATAACCAGAAAAATTCCAACATCTTCGGAGATGGAAATAGATGAAAATGTTCACAATTTGCAGTCGTGCGAAATTCACGGAGAAAACAATCAACAGCCCAGATGGTGAACAACGTTAATCCAGTAAGCTGGCCAAGAAGTATAGCAATAAATACTAACCACTTAAAATTTGGAAAACAAGTGCAAACGCGGTAAAATCTGAAGATCCTTGACTGGCGACCACCAAGTACTGGTACCTGTCGAAAAAAAATGACAAGTATTAAATTATTTGAAGGTAGTGAAGCACTAAGACCGAGCAGCGATTTTACGATTGAGGGCTGGTGTGTTGCCTGATGACATGCGGCAAGGGCATTTTTTAAAGTGCCTATGACATGAAATTTTTTATTTTCTTAAATGAAAGAACTCTTTAAGTTGTAGTGTAACTTATTTTTCAGTTTCTTGTTTTTGTGATTTGTTCCCGAGATATTTCAATTTTTTTGATATGTAAATGAGTGTGAACATGTCCGCTATTTTATGACGTCATGTTGGTTGCAAGCTCAACTTACACTGCTTTTAAATGTATTAACTTAAAAAACTGTTGATATCAGTTTACGTTTTTCTCCAGTGTTTCATCACATTTACCAGTGAGTGAAGTTTGAAATTATCATCTTGGATGATAGCAGTGAAATTCAACCATTTTGAAGAGCTTGCAACGAACATGACGTCATAAAATAGCGGACATGTTCACACTCATTTACATATCAAACAAATTGAGATATCTCGGGAACAAATCACAAAAACAAGAAACTGAAAAATAAGTTACACTACAACTTAAAGAGTTCTTTCATTTAAGAAAATAAAAAATTTCATGTCATAGGCACTTTAACTGTATAACTACTGGGATATTTACCCCAGTAGGCCCTTTGCTTGCCTCAGTAGTGAAGGAAAATTATAAGATGATCTGGGCCCTTTCGATCATGAGTAAAAATTCATTCTTGTTGAAAAAGCTCCATCTGCCTGCTTTCTAATGTCCTCTCACATTCTCTAAATTGCATCTTATAAAAGTCAACACAGCATGGTCTTTATGTGGGTAGGGGTATAACGCGGTAACGGAACGGACCGGCGGAACCAGTAAGGAGGAATTGGGAAAGCGGAAACGGAAAAAAGGGTAAAACGCGGAAAAAAGGGTAAAACGCGGAAAAAAGAGTAAAACGAGGAAAATGTATGCCAACTCAATGACTTTTCCTATCCTTCGCCCTCGTTCGTAAGAGCCATATACAGACTAACTTTTTTCCCTCTGACTTTCTTAACTTATTTAAAGGCATAATAGTACTTGCTGAGCTATGGGTTTAAGACCACTTAGAATTTTTTTAAACCAAACTTTGATTTTGTTAAAGTGCCCCTAACCCCAATTATTTTATCATCTCATTCTTAAGAACTTCTGAAATGATATAATAACTTATTTTGTAGATTTTCGTTTGCTCACTTTGTTTCTGAGATATTTCAGTTTGTTTGCTATGCAAATAAATGGAATTTACGTCACAAATGTATAACGATTTAAAGTAAAAGCTTGTATATCGTTTTCACTATCGAGTTTAATTCATTAAAATGAAGTTTGGAGTTGTAGGAGGCTTAAATATACCTATGTAAAACACCATTTCCCCTTTCTATTTCATAATAATTAACTGTACCTTACATTCTTTGATCAGTCATTATTCACATGTGACGTAAATTCCGTACATTTGCGTGGGCGTTTGATTATTTTATGGTATTTAATTAAATTAAGTATGATTTTGTTAAACTACGTAAAGGCCGGTTTACATTATGAAAGTTACTGTGATCGAAGTGGCGTCATCTTGTATAAGCAAACATGCGATGACTTAAATACTTTTAAAGTTAATTTGTGTTTTTGAAGGGTGTTATTGGTACAAATATGGTTAATAAACGCATACTGCAGGCAGTGAGCACAAAAACGTTGATAGTGTAATGGCTAGTCTCCCACCGGCCTCCCATGTGAAAAATGAATCTAACAAGGTGGACAGTAGGGGCCATATTTGTTTGGCGAAAAAAAAATTCGCTTCGCTATTATACTGGAAAAGTAGAGGTCAGTTATACTCACAGTGAAAGGGAAAAAAGAAGAAAAATTCAATAGAATCAATTTCGCGAGAATATTAAAACCAGCCTTTACACAGCTATAATGCAAACGACTCATACTGCACTTTGTAAAATTCTCTCAAGTCTGTTATTTATATAAGAAGTGCCGACTTGACGCCAACGGAACCGGATAATTTGAGAAAAACACTTGCGGTTTGACAAAGAATTCCACCTATACGCAGCAATCTTTCAATATTGTCCTTCAATAAGTTCTTATCCAAGGAACGAAATGGGGAATACTCGGTACAGGAATACATGGCAATTATAGTTAATTAACAGAAGGGTTGTTGGCAAACAATATATGCGTGATTTCAAGTTAATTTCACATTTCAGTAAACATGCATGGAAGTAAACGTCAAAAAAATCTTCAGGAGAATGTGAAGTGTTTTTAATACTGTTGCGATCATTTGAAATGCACCTATTAGTATATGATAAGAAATTCCATGCTTAATTTGTTCATAACATATGTAACATTTTTGCCTTTGTCTTCCATCGGTTGACTGCATTTAAGCCTGGTTCACATTGATCGGCGATGTTCTACGATCCATTGTCTGTGAGCAACGAAGAAGAAAATGCACAAAACATTTTATGCATCAATGACCACCGACAATGGGCATCGCCGATGTTTACGATGAATGTGAACCAGGCTTTACACTGCAAATTGACTGTCAGTTGACTGCATTTACACTGCGTTGACTGCAAAACAATCGCCTTAACAATACATCATATATTCTAACTTAAATTCCAGAAGCTTGTTAGCAGTTATACAGGGTGTATAAAAAAACGCAACCTCGGAATTTCCCAAGAAATCGACATTGTTTTAAAGACAAAAGATTTTAGGCGCCTGGGAATTTAAAATAGCACAACTGTCAAAATTACTGCACACGCGAGTGTATGCATTTATTTAATGCACAACAATAGTAATATGATCTATTAGCAATTCGATTTCAATTCCCAGGGGCCTAAAATCTTTTATGCTTAAGAATTGCAAAGTGATTTCTGAGGAAATTCCGAGGTTGCGTTTTTTTTATACACCTGTAGATCAGCTTCGTATTCTGTTTGATGAAAGCAAACCTCTGATAATAATCCTTATTGGCGACCTTAATTGTGATGTCAGTAATTCGGTTCTTCCGCAGACAATAGCTCTGGAAGAGTTTATTATTTCAAACCAACTTAAACAATTAATTACCGAACCTACAAGACAAACGATTTTTTCAAAGACCCTAATTGACGTTTTAATTACCTCCTGTCATGACACGTTTACAGACAGCGGAATAGTTGAAACTGCAATTAGCGATCATTTCCCCATATACGGTATATTTGCTTGCAAACAAAGGGAGAAAGGAAAACATCGGTTTTTTCATACCGTCGAGTCGATGAAAATTGCTCTCAACCTTTTGTTCAGGCTATTAATCAAATCCCCTGGAGCCTATAGTGGACATTGCGGACGATCCAACTAGAAAATTGTCAATTTGGGAAGAATTATTCATGCCTGTAATGAAAAAAATTTTTCCACTTAAAAGGAAAAGAATTAGGAAAGATACATATCGGTGGATTAATCGTCAATTGCTTGTCTTAATGCGAAAACGTGATCGGGCGAAGAAAAAATCATTTAAGAGTAAATTAGAAGACGATTATATTATTTATAAACGTCTAAGGAATGAAGTCACTAGTGCTATTCGAAAAGCTCGGATACATTATTTCAAAGAGAAATTAGATAAAACTGCTGGAAACCCTAGAGCCTGCAGGAACCTTATGAAAATAGTACTACCCTCAAAGCGCAAGGAGAAAGAAATTGAAAAACTAATTATAAACGAGAACGAAATTAGGGATACCAAAGAGATTGCTAACTGTCTTAATTCGCATTTCACAACAGCTGCATCTCATTTAAAGTTTATGAATTACAGCGAAGAAGAAAGTTCGACTCTTAATACGCCAGAAGTCCCCCCAATAGAAACGAAACTAGAACCTGCGACGGAGATGCCTTGCTTTGAATTTTATAGCGGTATTCCTGAGAACGGTGTAAATTTAATGTTAAAGAACTTAAAACCAAATAAAGTTGCGGGGGCAGATACGATAGCTCCAAAGATACTTAATAAAATTGCTGCTGACAGTTTATCACCTAGTATAACATCCCTGATTAACCGTTCTTTAATAAGTGGGTCCTTTCCGGACCAATGGAAAATCGCGAAAGTTATCCCGAGTTTCAAAGGCCAGAAATCATACGAACGCGATAATTATAGGCCAATTTCCCTATTACCGTGTCTGTCCAAAATCTGTTAATCCGTAGCAAACTTACAAATGAATGAGCACCTTACTGCTTTAAATGGCACAAATGAATCTCATCAATTTGCATATACTAGAAATAGCTCGACTACAATTGCATTGATCAGAGTTCCCGACTCTTGGAAGTTGGCAATCGATCAGAAAAAACACACTGTTAACGTGTTCCTAGACCTGAGAAAGGCCTTCGACATTATTAACCACGACATCCTCTTAAATAAGGTCAAAGTTCTCGGTTTTGGTATCAGGGTTATACTCGATGGTTTAAATCCTATCTAACGGACAGACAACAATACGTTTATTGTAACGGAGTGGAGTCGGAAATTAGAAAGATCACCAGTGGCGTACCCCAGGCCTCTGTGTTGGGACCGTCGTTATTCAGTGTATACTATAACTCGATCGCGGACTGCTTCGTTCATTCTGAAACTACATTATACGCTGATGATTCTGAAGCGCACTGCTCCCACTTTTCCGTACATGGTGCTGAAACAGCAATGAAAAATGATCTTCAAAACATTGAACAGTGGTTGAAGGCGAATAGAATGATTGCGAATATTAAAAAGACCAAAACAATGTTAATCGGTTCGCGCCCTGCTCTTAGAAAGGCTGAAGCTGAAGATATACAGATACATCTTTTTAACAACAAAATAGAAGAAGTAACCACGTTCGATTATCTGGGTGTTCGAATGATTAATACCCTATCATGGAAACCTCATGTTGATCGGTTATGGCAAAGATCTTATCCCAAAATGAAATTACTAAATCGTGTTTCAGCTTTTTACCTACAGCTGTTCTTCTTAGAATTTAAAAACAAACAATCCTGCATATTATCGACAATGGTTCAATCATATGGCAGGATTGCGGGTCTGTTCTCTCTAATGGAGTAGAAAAAATCCAAATTAAAGCTATGAGAACAATCTTGTGTGCTAATTGAACAACCTGTACGCAAAAAATGCGAAATCGTCTTGGTCTCTTAACTCTACACAGTAGACGGCGATTTCTAAGGAATATTCTAGTTTTTAAAATTGTCAATAATGTGGACATTCCTAAGTATCTTAACAATTATCTGGTTTAGGAAGCTCATTAAGAGAAAAATCCCTCCGTGTTCTAACTTTGATAGATATACCTAGAGTAAACACCTCACTAGGGCAAACTATGCTTAAAGTCGCTGCAGCACGTGATTGGAACTTGCTACCGAAATGTATCAGAGATATTAAAGTTCTCGGCAGCTTTAAAAACAATGCTTTTAAACATTTTTTAGAATTAGACAATTCTACACATAGGTGTAGTTTGTAATTTTTACTGATCATTATAATATTGTATATAAAGGTATATATATATATATATATATATATATATATATATATATATATATATATATATATATATATATATATATATATATATATATATATATATATGTAAGCATTTCATAACTGTAAGTACTGTTCACCCGGGTAAGACCAGCTTTAATTAGCTGTATGGGTCTCTCTACTGATCGTTGAAACGTTTCATTTGGAGAGAAAAATAAATTAGGAGGGTTGAAACATCGGTCAGTTAAACGAAAACGTGCTGAGCATTACACGAATGAAGATTCCCAAATCATTGTTCGGTGCGCCTTATAAGAAATGTGTGGGAAAATGCCGACCAGCGAAGCAATAGCCAAATAAGTATTTTACTTGAGTCCTCGTCGAAAATGTGTAAACTCTGATAAAGGTAATGACTCTCTCTCCTCCGCAGAACCTCCTTAAGTATTTACAAATAAGTTTTATGAAGTTTCCTGAATAAGAGTGAGCGCGCGCGGTGTGATGGGAAGATTGAAATGAAGACGGTAAGGCTCTGCCAGATAATGCAACGAAGTATGGCTTTTGAACCAAACAAGTTGTTTGACCTTGTTTTAAACTTGAAATCGACGGAAATGTGAAAGAAATTGAAACAAATCTTCATAATCTGAGTATCGAATTTCAGTAGAGTCATTTTTTTATAAAGATATGTTGCAATTTAGGGGATACTTATAATTAGATAGCTCATACCATTTGTATTCATTTGCAATTTCTCAATATTTTTCTGTGCAAATGGACTGAAAAAGATATTGCATTATATTGGATTCATTCCAGGAGACACGAGTACGCCTGAAAGGGAAATGTTTTAACACCCTCGATGGTTGATCGAACCGAACTCCAAACGATATTATATACGACGCCCTGCCTCGTACCCAGGCGCTTTAAATAATTATAATACATGAAGTACTCAGGTAGGCAGGCGACGCGCGAAAGGGCAGTTGGGAAGGATGCGTGCTGGGGAGCGCCTGGCAGTTCTTGTATACTGTCATGGCGGGAAAACATGGAATTTAATACATAAATACTGTATTACCATATCGTCATATACTCTGTGTGTAAAACCTCACTTTTTGATGAAGAGTTGAATTGAACGCCATTGGCAAATAATAATAAATTTGCAGATGTTTGACGACATGCATAAATGCGCGAATAATTATGAGTAAATTACATATGGCAAGTTAACCATGCTAATATTTTGAATATACAATGTCATTTGGTATTATATGGAGAATAATAAAATGCTATCAGTTGCTTAGTACAAAATAGTAACAGAGAAATTATTAGAAAGTCATATAATTGCTTTTGTATCAATAACATCTTTAGCCGAAGGCTCGATCACAATGCCAATCAATCTCGTACCCAGAGCAATGACTGAGCGCAGGCGAGGAAGGCATTGGCTCTGGGGAAATTGACAACCGGAACCCCTAAATTTAGGGGTTCCGGTTATTTGTCGGCATGTACTATTGATAAAAGTTAAACCTATCACAGCACAGGAAAAATTCAGTTTCCCCAGAGCCAATGCATTCCTAGCCCGCGCACAGGCATTGCTCTGAGTACGAGATTGAATGCCAATGGCAATTTCTAATTTTCTATTAAATGTATACTGTAAACAAAAGCTCCCAAGTAAATAAAAGTTCACAACCGTAAAGTTTGAAATATTTATTACAACAGTGCAACCTAATTCATAGTTTACATATACCTTTATATAGTTATAGGTTACAAATCTAGTTTTGCTGTGCAAGTCTAGTTCTTTAACGCTTCGATTGTTGACATGTTAATATTCCAAGACTTTAAATAAGGCATATGTCATATATACCAAGAATAACAGCACGAATTCATGCCCAGATGACAGAAGAATATTAGCATTGGTCAATACAACAAAAACAAGTAGCAAAAAATCGTAAACGACAAGGACATATCACAACTTGCAAGGAATCGTACTTTGTTGCAAGAAATCGACCAAGAACTGCCAGGAGTGCCAGGCGTCTCCGCATTTCAAGTGCACACTTCCCATCAGCGCCTTCGCCCATCTCTCCCCACTACAATACTTCATGTAAACTCGTCATATGCGCATCACTGTTTTTTTACAATGAGACGCTTGGGTACGAGGCAGTACGACGCCATATAGATTGCATTAATTAGCAGAGACTTTATTTAGCTCTTCCCATCCTTCCTTGCGTGCTTACTTTCCCTCACTAGGAACTTCATGTAAGCCTCTGCGGAGGAGAGAGGGTAATGCCTATCGTTATGTAATGTGTATACTTTGTGATATTTACAGTATTGTGTGATTATGTAGCTTTCTAACAGTACAGTATTTGTACGTTTTAGTTTGGTTCACCTCAAATCTAATGGGTCAATTACACTGTGTGTGTGGGGTGGGGAGGGGCAGGAGGCGGGAGAATAAGTGCGGGAGGTGGGCATTAAGCGGGAGGAGACGGAGAGGATATTTTGACCGAAGGGAAAAAGGACGAAAAAGGAATCAAGGAAATATAAGGAATTTTTGAGTAATTGACTTGTAATAAACTGTTTTGAAGATTCTTTGTATAAAAAAACTCTTTTGCAGCCTATGAGCAAGTCAGTAGGGCCTACAATGAAGAATTAACAATTAACAATCAACGTTGTTCAAAACAATTTTAAAACTCTAGGATTTTACATTTTAGAGTTTCAAAATTCTCGTGTACTTTCATTAGTTGTGCCAAAAATGTATGATTCTGTCTTGCTCTATATAAGTATTGATGAGGACTGATGAATAATATTTCGGTTAATCAAGGAAAATCAAAATCCTGGCTTTTTAGCTGTTAAATCGAAATGAGCTAAATTAGATAGAACGGCTTACAGTCAAAATACAAGAACTTTCCCACTTCCGCTTCTGTAATCTGTAGACATTTTCTCCATTTTTTTCTGTATTACCGTAACGGTTGCCGATTTATAGACAAATGCCATGATAAAATTCAAATTCCCACCTTTTATGTGTCAAAATGCAGTGACCCTAACGAACAATGTAGCCTTTGCCCTACAAATTATCATATGAAACAAAGAAAACTAAATTTTGTCGCCATATTTGCTCACATTTGGCAACTGCTACAGAAGAACTGAACAAATTACAGAAAATTACAATGGATTACAGAAGCGGAAGTGGGAAGGTTCTTTTGTTTTGACTGTAATGAAATTTGCAAAAAGATTCGGGAAGCGGGAGGTGTTGACCCCCCTTCCCCCTCCCCCTCTTACACTGGGAGAAACAGTTATTAAAATGCTTTATCGAGTTAGATCTAACGATGACGACAACTTGTGTAATCTATTTTATATCAGAAGAAATGACAGAAATTGCGAATTACAGTCCTAATCCTTTCGATATCAAGGTCGTTGAAATGCATTCTTCTAGGACTTTCTCTAACTATTCAAGCGTTATATTATTGTGAAATCATTTAGCCGTATAATAAATGACTGAGGCTTGATTTCTAGTGTCTAACAAAAGGATTTTAAAGCGGCACCACAACTGAAACCGGGTATCAACGAAATTAAGCACAGTATTTGTCCTGTGTAATATAGGCGACCGCAGCAATAAAAATCTTTATTCACAAAGCGCCATTGCCGCCATACACATAATTATTGAATATTCTCATCCAAATTTCAAAGTATATTTATAGTAATCAATCAAACGGAACGAATGAACTTTAGATATTCACTCACCAATTCACTTTCATCCATGAGAACTGTCAAATATCTGTATAATTTTACGGGTAAGAAGAGAAATAATTTACCCAACCTAGTATGTTTCTATATCGCTTAGCTAGCGAAATCTCTCTAATTGACTTCCAAGAATATGATTGGATCGAAAACATAACGTAATGTTACCAGAAACTCGTGAATCATGGGGGAAAACCCCGATATGTAATGTGTAAGCCATTACTTGGAACTGTATTCATCATCCCCAACATTTATGCTAATTACCGTTTAAATAATTAGCTGTACCGTGAAATTTATTATTGATATAGGATATATGATATAAAGATACATAATTATATATTCAAGATAATTCAAGATAAATAGATGATTGGTTAAAGATCAGCAATTACAATAGGATTCACACATTCAGTACTTCATTATTCATACAATTTATTACGACTCCCCTTGTCGGGGCTATTCTGCCATAACTACTACAAAACAATTATGCTATACTATTATCAGGCAGATAAAAGGAAAAAAAACTCACCATATCGAGGGATAATTCCATTTTTCCTTCATCTTGTGCCCTGAAGGCTAGTAAGTATATTTCTGTATGAGTTAGGCGTTAAAATATCTAAATTGCTATGTCT